GATAACATATGGGCCATGTGAAGGATTGCGGCTTTCTGGACATAACGTGGGTCCCACGGCGTGGGAAAAGATCCCAGTATGTAAACATTGGTGTGATGCAAATTTCTCTCACTGCGAAATATCAAGCAAGGTGTCCTGCTGAAGGGACGAGGAGCCACTTCGGTATTGCAAAACGGGAAGATCGATAGAGGGCAAAGCACGCGTGCGAGTCGACGTATGGCCGACTGCGCATCATTTCGGGCATGCGCGGTTGCAATACTATACGTCAAAGACTGACACGCCCTCTTGCGGGTGTTTTGTATCCATTTCTTCAGTTGAATGGCACTTGCGAACTCAGGTCCACCTGTCATTAAGAAAAAACATAAATGCAAACTTGAAATCGGGAATGACTAAATCTTTTGACGCCATAGTTGCCGGGTTGTAATTAAGCGTAAAGATCAGACGGACAGGAGGCTAAGACAATTGTGGCAGAGGACGCTTTTATGGGCTTGAGGCCTCGAACACGAAGCCTGCTAGATTTGATTAGAACTTTAACATGCTGTGTTAAGTTCATCTCTTGCATAATTGTGGAGGAAAGTGCTCTTCTGAAACCAACTCTCTATTTTCACGTTAACCACGGCTGCATGACCTCTCACCTGTTTTACTATTATCACAATTATTGATTCAACTTAATTCAATGCCCAGGGCTACAGCAGAATGAAAAACAAAATCAGATCTTATCTGACGTTGCCTGGTGTTCTTCAGATCAATTCAGCAATCGTTAGTAGATCTGAGCGTGAGTTTGACAAGATTACATCCGTGCGGTGAGTAAGTAGATGAGGCAAACGCCATGTGACGGGCGGTTTGCCAGATGCGTCACATACATAGTGGAAAATTTATATCCACTGGCGAAGTAATTCGCGTTAGCACCTAGCGTGCAGTTCCTCCTTGGGATGTCATCTCTTTGTCACCTGTTTAAGTTGAGATGTACTCTCTCTAGCCTGTCCAACTCGTGTTCGGAATGACCTGTAATGCGATTGTGATTTTCAATGCATTTCACTTCTCTTTCTGACGGTAACAAGCCGCATGTTGGGGGGGGGGAAATCTTGACAGTTCCTCAACATTCGAGGTTTAGTGACGAAGGGGGCGGGGTTTCCGGTGATGACAAGCTATTTAGGCTGATATTTTCTTTGCTAAACTGAGATTTGTTAACGACAGAAAAAAAAAGCTAAGAGATACAGCTGTAGTATGAGACAGGCTTTTCAGTGCCAGTCTATTTTCCTGTCTTAACAAGAAAATGAAAATAAAAGGTCTAGTTCTGAACACTCGATGTCTTGGCCGTTTGAGCGGCAGAAACAAACACTACGTACTACTCAGCACAAGAATTTCAAAAGTCTATCCGCCCCGAGTTGAAGTGCACCCCCAAGTGGCAAAAGAAAGACAGCCTAAGTTTTACAAGTGGATTCTTGCGTTCTGCGTATAAGCAAAGACCATACATTAAGGAATAAATTCGTTACGCGTACTCAGCGTGCTCCGCCATTGATCCCATTATAAACGCGCGTCTACGCGGTGAATACTAAAAAGCACGCCCTCTTCTGTTCCGCTCAGAGCGGATAGAGTACAGAAGTGAACGCACAGTTACGTGTGTAAAAGGCATTAGAGAGAGAACCAGCGCGTGAACCAACACACACGCGTACTCCATTCGTTTGCACTGCACTTATAGGTTCACAGTGACGTCACACGTCAGTACTCTATACTTCTAAGGCTGCATCCGAATCCCTTGTCTAGAGCTAGGGCTAGGTCTTCGCTCCTTTGGAATTGTGTGGACAGTAGACCTAGCCGTAGCTCTCGAAGCCCATTTCGGACACATCCTAAGTGACCACTGCATGGGAATCGAAGTCACAACCTTCAGCTCAGTGACAGTCGTCTTGGTTTTTGCGATACCACCTCGAGAAGAATTTCCACTTCGGAAGTTGAGAGGTATCTCCCCCATCCCTGGAGTTATGCCCATTAGCAGATCGACCTATATCCAACATTACCCACTGTACGATGTCTAAACCACAAAGAAATTTCAGTTTTTGTTCAAGCGAAATGATTAAAACCGCCTCTATTATATTCAAGGCTAGTGCTTGCTTGGAGCGTTCAAACCATGACATGCCCATTTGGAATTGTAAAACAAGGGCATTTCCTCGAAATCAGAATACGAGATTGTGGACAAAGAATGACAAGGAAATGAAGCCATGAATAGACTCGTATAATGTTTCATACTTTTTACCCCAGTCGAGACCACACAAAGAGTGAAATTTCCGTTACAATATTTCATTTCTACCCATTGCGTCACGCATGGAGTCGGCAGACTCGAGACCATTTTCTGGGAAATGCAGAAAGATGTGAAACATTCGAATAATCACGTGTTTAATACACTGCTCTAACGATTTTTAAAATTCATTTTACGGTTCCGGAAAAAAGGCTAACTGCACGAGCCTAAGGGAACTTTGATGGATCCAAAAGTCAGTTGTTTCTTTTAAATTAGAAGTCTTAAGGATAGCTCAACTTTTTACGCATAACTCATTTCCTTCCAGTTGTGATAGAATCCCTCATGAATATACCTCTTTGTCCGGTACAGGTCTATCTGTACTTTCACATCTTTATTCAACCTTTTAAAAAAAAACCTTGCGTTTGCTAAACATTTAGTAAACGCAGGTATTCATTTTTTGTTCCAGCCAGTTCCCGTCGGGAAGAAAGCTTGGTCTTGGTTGGGTGGTCGCTTTTACTGCAGGGAACTGTATTTTCAGAAAGGCGTAAGTGAAAATTCAGTGAATAATTGGACCCGGTGACACTGAGAATTCATCATGAATGGGTCATTGTGATCACGGCAAAGTTTGCACTCTGTGATTGAGAGATATACAATACTCCTACCAACATCTATAGGCCTGCAATTTTTTGCTGGCTGCCGAGGATGTTCTATACGTTGCAATGATGAGAAAAAATATAACTGTAACCCATGTGTGGTTGAATCTGTTGGCAGTGTTGCTGTAAAGCTTTCCTATATTAACAGTCACTTTGGCCTTCTGTCTGTCGAACTGTTGAGCATTCCACTTGAACTTTCATCCTTTATCTTTAGGCCACGACTTGGGGAGAGAAAAAAAAGAAATAGCTATGAATGGGTTTGCTTAACACGGATCGACATCAAATTACGCGGTTGTAGGCAGTTCTAGTCAACTATCGCACCAGGTATCTCTTTTACCAGTTGCGATCTTGCTGGTAGCCGTTTCCGGTTACATGTCAAAACGATTCGAGGTGCTCGTTTGTATCCGAGCACGGAGCCGTGACTTTTTTCCATTGATCTATTGACTCTGTAAAATGTCACGCTATAGTCCACATGCTAGTTTTGCAACGATTTGATCCCGGTTGGAGCTACCAACTCAAAACACAACTAGAATGTCGATCAGGAAAACAAAATTTTGAAACGCTGCTACGTACCAGCAGTTTCAGTAAAAAAAGAAACCTGATTCTTGTTGAACAAACTGTCCACAAATTGAGGGGACACGTAACGCAACCTGAGTAATCACCAAACTTGACAGGTTGCCAGGCGACCACATTCAAATAAGAGTTTTTAAGGGTTCAGTTGAAGGTGTGCTTAATGGTATGAGTACAGTGGCCATGAAGATAATCTTTATTGTCACAAAGTCTGCATTTGGGGTTATCAGTGAAATGGTCTGATGCTGGTTTTTTGTTCCTAATTTGCATGCTGTAGAGGAAGCACAAAGAACCAAACAATGCATATTGTAAAGATGTATTTCTTTTGCGTTGGGGAGATGCTAATTTACATAACGGGTTTTTTGCCCCTACCGGTGGTCGAGTGGTTGGGACGTCTGCACTGGTGGCGGGAGGTCGTGGGTTCGGGTCCCACCCGAGTAGGCTTGTGAGGTTTTTTTCGCAAGCTCTAGGACAGGCACTGAGCATACAGTGCTTATTAATGTACGTTGGGTAGGGGTAAAAACCCGTTATGTAAATGCATATTTTATTGGAGCAATCAGAACAATTTAATGCAAATTTGCTGTGCGACATGTAAATCGCCATGACTGCCAAGTAGTCGAAACTATTAAAACGTGTCTGCACAACACCATCTACGGTGTTTCGTTGTGATTCAACCTTGAGTAATAACGAGTTTTATTCACAAAATTTCAATGGCTCTCTTTTTCACGGTCGACTCGCTCTGCCCGACTCAACGTTTTTGGCGCCAAAGAAAATGAGCGACTTACGTTTTCCAACACCTTGTCCAAGACTGTCAAATTTGTATTGATTTTTTTTGACGAGGTGGAAGAATGGGCCAAAGGTTATACTAGTGTTAAACCACTATGATGGATGCCTTTGTCAGGTTTAGACTACCTTACAGTGGAAATGGGGGTAAATTCACGGAATGCCTGCACCAATAGCCACTTTCAAATATTCATGCATACCTTTGCCAAAGTACAGTTAAATAAATCTTTTGAACAACGCAAAGTTCAGTTCATTCTTTTGTGGAACATTCTGAAGTCGATATACATATATAGAGTTTGCTGCACTTTGGTTACTACCCCTTGATTTTGTTTGTTTGTAAGGAAAGTAGAATATCTGAAACTGAAAAGAACCCACTTACAGCGAAATTTTGGTCTCACAAAATGTGGACGACAGACATGTGAAACTGTGTATGTCGTGGTGGAAGCCACTGGCCTATTTTTCTGGCTTTGCCAAGTATCACGTTACACCAAAAAAAAAATCTTATGCTCTATTTCCTGGTTACGATTTCGTGGAAGAACAGGGTAGGAAAAAACATGTAGCTAATGAACGACCTAAGCAACAATTAGAAAATCAGTAGCAAATCCCATGCACCACAACGGCACCAAGGCCGAGTCCTTGTGACCTACAGTCACCAAATCAGCACTTAACCTGAGCAAATATTAACCTCCTTCCTCAACGAATAAACAATTCAGAAGAGCAAAGCACAAATAGAACAAACCTGAAAGATAACACAAACATAAATATCTGTGTTTAATGTACATGTACATAGTTTATTTCTAAATCCAATACAGATTGCAAACAGAAAGACGATAGTATAGAGTCTACACATCGTTTACTGCAAATTCATAAAATCATCCTCGCTAGAACTAAAAAGAAATCTAAATCAAACGGTAAAATAAAGACAGAAAAGCCAAAGAGCAAGAAATAAAATACACAGACGCTTTTTAAAGCAAAATACACAAAATTTCGTTCGAAAGGGAAAATAGGCTGGACTTGCTATCCTACAAGTTCATTCACATTATTGGTTCAATATTTTGCTCATTGGAAATTCATTTCGTCCAATTCCTCATCCTTTTCGTTTCATTATCGTACGTACATGTACTTTACAAACAAGACAGCTCTGCAAAAGTATCAAATTTGGAATATAAATACAAAGAAATCCAAGCATTCTTGCTTTTAATTGAAGCAATTTACCGTCTTTTCGTTGCATTCCGTTCTTTCAAATCAAAATGTCTCTTACAAACAGACCTATTTTCTTCCCATTTTCCTTTGAAATTGAGGAATAAATGCACCATACAAATCTAATAGTCTGGAACAAGGCCATGTGAATACAGTAACCAGTGGTTTGGCACATCTTTCACGTCTGGGAACAAGACAATAAGGTATTACTAAGGTCCAACGATGCCTTATTTCAGCTTGAATTTTTGTCTGATAGAGAGAAAAGTGGCCTTGAGTGCTCAACTGAGCGAGTTTGTATTGTCATATACCTGTGCTTCATTGTACAATATTCAATTGATTTGCCAAACACTTTACTTGCAGTAATGCTTCATGACCGCCCTTGAATCCAAATTCATTCGCCACAAAATTGTGGTAGACAACAGAGGGCGCTTCAAGTCACGGCAACTAAAAGGCAATTAATGCTAAGGACGGGTCAAGACAGACGTACGCAGGTCATTCACAGCTGTAGCTGCCCGGTGTTCTCTTACTCGATCTTTCAATTTTTCACGTTTGCAGTACCCTGCCACTTTGAGCCCTACTTATCACTTTTTGGTCCTTTACATGTATAATCGATCTCAGTGCAGAAAGTCTTGAGTCAGCATATAAATAGCTGAACTTCCCTGTCTAACGGGAATGTTCTGTAAGGCACACTATATATACACTATGCCACAGGGATAACTCCTTTGGGGCTTTTGCTCCAATTACTGTGCTGTCTTTGTCTAGAATCGGTGCAAAGTGACTGAAGCCAATCAGATGCAACACAGCTGTGCTCACACAATATGATGTTCCATGGTGTTTTGGGTCACCCTTTTGATTAGTGACTTATTTGCTTTGTTGGCTACAGGCAGGCAACAGCTTGTCCGTAATGGCTCTGGTGCTGAGGCAGCTGCTGTTCGTACTCTCGTCTCGAGTTGGCCACCTCCACCAGCATGAGAAGCCCGCTGAATGTTTCTGCCTCCATCTTGGTCGCCGGGGCAGGGGGCCGAAGGGTTGGGGAGGCATCCCTCGGCGGTGACGGTGGGGGTGTTTGGGAAGGCACACGTTGGTGGCTTGGCATGGGCAGTCTCTTGCCCTCTTGGGATTGACTCAAGTGACGGTAAAGCTCTGTGTGCTGGTGGTGGTGGTGGGGAAGTGGCAGGCTGGGAAAGCTGGCCCCCTGGGGTAGCTTCAAGTCCAACGGGGCCCTTATGTACTGGTACGTGCTTGGATAGGTCAGAGGGGTGGAGGATGGAAACATCGTTAGTGGGGAGCCATGGTACGGTACTGGCTGAGTCAGAGGGGGACTGCAGCCTCGTCCTGCACTGGTGGATCCTGCTTCACTTAGAGATGGGCTGGAGACATCTCGCTCCATGCACACGAGGTCATTCTGTGAGAATTCTGAGCGCTGAGTGCGATCATGGTGGTAGGTTGATGGACGGGGTGACGGGGCATCCTCTGAGTATCCATCCGACTCGTAAGGAGGAGAGTCGTACCCACTGGCACTCATGGATGACGTGTCGGCTTCATTGCCACTATCAGAGAGTCTGGACTCTTCCATGTTGATGCGAGCGTGGGCTTTCTCCTCCTCTGGGCTTCCTTGCATCTCACCTGTGACTCCGTCTTCATCTGCCTGTCCGTTCAGCTTTCCGGGCGACCTCCTACTGATGGTGAACTTGTCTGGGTCCCGACCCTCTCGGCGGATCATATCAGGAAGAATCCTGCGCCTGGCATTGATGAACCAGTTACACACCTGCAGTAAAGTCAGATTGGCCATCCGGGCAAGATGCATCTTCTCCTGGTCATTGGGGTAAGCGTTGTAGCGATGCTCGTACAGCCACAGCTTCAGGATGTTAACAGCTTCCTTGGGGAGGTTGCCGCGTCGCTTCTTGGTGGCTGGCATTACGCTTGCTGGGGCGATGCCTCCTGCTGGCCGGAACTTCTTGTGATGAATAACCCCGGCACCAGCTGAAGACATGTCTGACCCTCCACTGTCACCGTTGGAGATCTTCACAGTTGCTGCAAGAGACAATGGACAAAAAAGGCTTGATCTTAGAAAAAAAACATCAGATTATCAACGTGTTATCCAGAATTTAGGTTTCACACCAAATCTATAATACAGTGGAACAATGTTAGGTCCTTACACACTGTTAGGTCCTCGAAACTTAACAAATTACATGTACTTTTGTATAGCAGTGAATTTGTATTATAATTGATGGAAACCAAGAAAAATAAAGATTTGGGACCTAAATTGTAATTGTTGTAGATATGACCTTGTATTAAACAGTGCTCTCCTTATCTGTGTTCGACTGTAATTGGCATTACGTTATATGTGTCAAGGGAGACACTGGGGGCTCATGTACATGTGCGTTAAGGAAAATACAACCGGCTGTTACTGTCACTTTTGTGACTCACAATTAACCGACAGGTCTTGTCTGGCATGCAAACTCAGGATATGCAATCCGACCAAAACCGCACGTAATAGTCAGTTCGCTCAGTCAGCCCTTGGTTTCAGCAAAAGGTTCTAGCATGAACAAATGACCAAGGGTACACCTGATCAACTGGAGAATGAGGCTCTAAGAACCGAAAGAGGAACGCAGGCAGTTTAACGGGCATGTGGCACGTAGTGGCTTGGGGAAAAGTGACAGGCGTACCCCGATAGTGCCAGGAACTTCCTCGTTCCAGAAATATTTAGTGGCGTCCGTATTATGACAGGTTTCTCTTTTGCCCATTACAGGAAGTGTTGTCGTCGTATCAGGCCGGGCCATGAGGACCTTTTGGCCCCCTCCAAGGGAACCGGATTCAGAGAAGGAAATCGCTTTTCCATCTTGGAGACTTCCCGTGTGCTAAGAAATTCTGAATGGATTTAAGAGTTACCGCATACCTAACATTAGTCAGTCAGATTTAAGGACACCGACCAGTGATTTCAATCTCACTTCTAAATGACCTATCTGCCCCAAATGGGTCTGTGGTGGTGGGGGGTATAGTGGTGTCAACGCTTCAACGCGCGTAATCAAACCTCGGCTGTGAAATGTGTCCTCAGAACACATGGAATTAAGGCAAACTAGCTATGAATGGCTGAAAAAGACGGGTTATATTTAACACAATCGAGAGCCTTCAGGCATAGTGGTGAGATTTTCTAGTTTTTCTGGCCCAAACGAGATAGCAAAGAATAAGAAATGAGGTCACAATTATTTCTTTCCTGCAGGTACCGAGGTCATCCAAGTAATAATGTGGATTTTGTCAGCACGCCTGACAACCGACAGACAATGATGGCCCTAAGCTGCCACTGTCAACTCCAAAAAACGCGTTTCCAATACAACCGACCTTATTATCCCTTGGACTCAAAATATTCATGGTGTTGACGGTTTGGTTTGAGGGTGTTTTCGCTTAAATTCGACGACCAATTGCAAGGGATATTTCAGTGTAGCTTCCTGTAACAGGGACTGGGACAACAATGGCCAGGCAATCTCTTGCTAAGCCAATCAGATAGAGAACAACTATATGTCTCTGTCACTTGGATGATCATCCTTTGATGATGTCTGCCAGCCGTAGGGCCACGTCACGCTTTTCTAACAAGTTTTCAACCACGTGAGTCACTGGCGACAAAACTGTAAAAGGACGCCTAGAATATTTGCCAAAACATGTATGCCGATCAGTGAAAGACCACATCTTCCCAGATCTGTTAAACCCATTACAGCGCTGAAGTGTTCTGACATTTGTTGCTCGTTCGCACTTTCACGGTACTCCTCACTGCTGCGTGAATGGATTCGTTAGGCTGTGTAACGGTGACATTACAGCACGTGGGAAACTGTGACTGCACTTGCTTATCTACACGTAAGGGCCTAGATCTCGTGATTCCACAATTATACCACCACCAATTGGTCGAAGGGTTGACAAAAATCTGTCAAACCTAACAGTAAACACTACTCAACCAAAAGATAGGAGACGGAAAGTTTGGTCACTTCATTTTCAACTCTACCTCTTGGCATACACACCACAGGTATTAAAGCCTAGGGTGATCCATGTTGGTCGGCAGTGTTGATTTTGTTGGTAGCGATGCGACCATAACGCGTGCATTTCATAGTCGTTTGTGAACCAGTGAAGTGCAGTTCTGACCAAAGGAGCATGTGTTGCCTAGATAATTTCGCCCTCTCCTGGTCCAGCTCGGGGTTCATAGCCCAGCATTAATGTTTTGCAGTTGTTTGATTTTTAAGTATGTTATAACATAATATGTTCATTGTAATATGGCAAATAGACGGGAGATGTGATTCAGACCTTTGGTTTTGTCGCTCAGACTTGCTATGCATGTTGCAGACCTCACATTACCGGTTTCGAATCTGTACACGTGTTATTCACTCCAAACTATGCATTATTAATTAGTTATCTCAGTGCAACGTGACCCTTTCAGTCTGGTGCTTTATGTTTCGGAGTACTTTCAGAATACTTATCGGGGAATCAGAAGACAATTGTAAACAGTACAGCCAGACCATGTTTCTTCATTTGTAAAATGTCATTTTCACCTGGTAGGCTGTTTCGTACCTTGTTTTTGTTTGCTGTGCATCCGACCGAATTTTAACAGCAATGAAAAAATTATGAAAACAGCAGCGGCCGCAAATTCGACACAAATAGATAGAATTACCAATAGATGTTGTTGACATTGTCTTCGTAGAAAATCAATTGGAGATTCAGAGGTACAATTCTGGAGAATGAGGTTTTTTCCGTCAAAAAATAAACTAACAAACAAAAAACCCAAATTCTGCAGCACATCGATTGAAATACAGTAAGGTGAAAATTATGTTTTGCAGAGCTGACATACGGTACACATCAGACGGCATCTTGAAATTTCCTGCATAATGCCAGCCCAGATATTGTGGCGTTGCAGATTTAATTGTAAATTGAGAAACAGGGGCAAGAGATCCGTCCCCAGGATATAACAATATTTGGCTCCCAAAAAAGCTAACTCCACATTCCTGGCCGTGTGGATTTATACCAAAATCTGACGATGAGAGGAAACAGATGACACAAGATGCCAACACGTCTTGATATGAGCAGACCTTTTAGCGAAAATTCCCCGAAATAGCATTCACAGACAAAGACCTTTCACTTCCAATGCTTCCTCAATTATATCAATAACATCGAGCTTTAACAAGGCCGCTTTGCAGGGATTTTCCAAACTTGCACCAGCTTCGAACGGTGATGTGAAAAAATGAGCATTTTTTAATTCCAATAGTGCGAAACGTACCCCCAATAGAAAAGAACAAATTGCTTGCCGCAGTGCATGCCACGTGCCATGAAAAACCTGCCTTGCACCTGGGAGCCAACGCTTTCTGAAAAGGCGGAGAGGAAATGGATAAGCGAACGGAGGATGTGATTGGATAGGATGAGCGGGTAATCCTTTGTATCCAGGTATACAATGCCATGGAGACACGCACCTCTCTATAAACTGTAATGCCCTTTGGTTGAATGGATCAATTACAGAGGCGCTCCTGATTGTGAGCCGCGCATACACACAGGAGAATCCAACATGTGTGCGACAGATTGCGCGATGTTTGCGCAACGTGGCAACACGTGATCAATTCAACCGAAATACTGCATAACACTGCATGAGTTTTTCGTGTTTTCACACACAGCAAGCGCCGTGTAGTAATTCAGATCGTTAATTGTACCGGGCTTAAAATCAATTTCGTTCCGTTTACTATTCTACGGAATACCACGAAGGACACAAAGACATACCACGACGACAGCGTCGATAAAATAAGTGTGAACCCCGAAACTGAAGCTCTAGGTATAAGTTTATAAAAACAACTTGACCTCTTCAGTGACGCCACGATTACCTGCCATTAGTAGATCCATGTCAGTGAAATCAAAAATTTCACTCAAACTACTAACTAGGCCCTAACGAATATTTCTTACTTTAATTAATTCTTGCTTAGAAATTCAGCCTATCACAATCTGACGTTTTCTCGCTCACACCGCTTACTCACAAAACAATAAGCACCACTTGTCCAACCATCGAGCTGCCTGGCCAACGCACCAACCTGTTGGTCTGTTTAATCATGCTGAACACACACACTCTTAAGCGTAACGCGCTTGTTTGTAGCGCCATAAGGATGAACAAATATGGCAGGCAAAGGAAACGGCAAAGAAAGTCTTTGGCGGGGGTACCACTCCGAACAGCCGGTTCGCTGAGAAATAACCACTTGCTGCACTCAAGGATAAGCAGCATCTGATAGTGACAGGTCGTGGGATTGAGGTTAAATGGTGACACATCAAACACGTGCCACGTAGTCTGTGTAGTTAGCAGATGCACACAGGGTTTTTTTTTTGGGGGGGGGGAGTAATTAGAAAGGCGATGTTTGTTCCATCCTTTTTTGCCCGCCCCTCATAAAGTGTGGCCCACAGAAAATATGGCTCTGGATCCGCCCTTGAGTCGGGGGTGTTACGGAGAACCACCAGTACAGTTTTCAAGCTGATCCAACAGGGAAATAACAGCTGTCAGACCGAGGAAGGTTACTGGCCACGCGCACTCAATTAGCACGAGACAATGGCAACTCGCCACGTGTTGTCGAGGGCTTATTGTTATCGAACTTTTAACTCGTGCTAGGCAGACACAGACTGCGGGCTGTCAGAAAACAATGTGTAAACGCATTAATTGAATTAATTAATAATGGACACGTGCCAGAATCAAACTCGATCTGCCCACAGATCACCCAAACATCTTCAAGGACATGGGTTAAAGATCATGGGGTCAGAAGATGACAGAAGTAGAGTTTCGAGGACATTGCCCGCAACTTTACCGCAATTTTAAAAAGGTCAGGCTGGATTAGAACAGCTGTTAGCCGTATCTGTTTCTGAAAAACCAAATATAACCAAAGAACATTAAATTAACTGGTTATTATTAAATGTCAACAGGCGAAAACATGAATCATAGTTGGTCCACAGGTGACTATTTAAAACCACGAACTTTCTCCTGTGCACGACCAAAAGCAACATAGAAAGCAAGTGGTGAAAACGGT